TTATTTGTTTTTTTTTCTTACTTAGTCTTTTTTTTGTCCTCAACCACTTACCCTATCCCCCCCTTTCGCCGAAGTATATTGCTATTTGTTTTTGTTTTTTTCTTTCCCTTCTTAGCCTTTGTGTTTTTTGTCCTCAACCACTTACCCCATACTCCTTTTCAATTGAAGAATACTGCTATTTATTTTCTTTTTTTTCTTTGCTCGCCTAGTCTTTTTTTTTTTACCCTCAACCACTTATCGCATCCCCCCCTTTCGACGAAGTATATTGCTATTTTTTTTTTTCCCTTATTTAGTTTTGTTTTTTGTTCTCAACCATTTACCCGAACCCCCCTTTCGCCAAAGAATACTGTTATCAGTTTTTTTTTTTTTTCCTTTGCTCACTTAGTCTTTTTTAGTTTTGTCCTCCTCCATAATCACCCACCCCCCCTTCGTCGAAGTATACTTATATTTGTTTGTTTTTTTTTGTCCTCAACCACTTACCCCATACCCCCTTTTCATTGAAGAGTACTGCTATTTGTTTTCTTTTTTTTCTTTGCTCACTTAGTCTTTTTTTTTTTTTACCCTCAACCACTTATCTCGTACCCCCTTTCACTGAAGTATATTGCAATTTGTTTCTTTTGTCCTCAACCATTTACCTGATCCCCCCCTTTCGCCAAAGAATACTGCTATTACTTTTCGTTTTTTTCTTTGCTCACTTAGTCTTTTTTGTTTTTGTCCTCCTCTATAATCATTCATCCCCCCTTTCGTCGAAGTATACTTATATTTGTTTTATTTTTTTGTTTCCTTACTTAGCCTTTTTTGTTTTGTCCTTAACCACTTACCCCGTTCCCCCCCGTTTCGCCGAAGAATACTGCTATTTGTTTTCTTTTTTTTTCTTCTCTTACTTTGTATTTTTTTGAGTCCTCCTCCGCAATCACCCGATCCTCCTCTTTCGCAAAAATATACTGCTATTTGTTTTTTTTTTATTTCATTTCTCCTATCAGTATCCCGTCTCTAGGCTTCATCGAAGACTATATTTATTTTCTTTCTTTTTTTCGTGAAGCATCTCCTCTTTTTTCACATCCTCCTCACAAATTATAATGTGAAACACTTAGTCTATTTTCGCCCCGTCACAAATAATAATTTGAGGCACTTAATCTATTTTCGCCCCGTCACAAATAATAATTTGAAATAGGAGGGGGAGAGAGGACTTGATATTTTTCGCGACGTGCTCTTAAAAAATAAATTATATCAAAGGGCAGGGTTGGGGGGGGGGGAGAGGACTGAGATTTGGATCACAAACACAATGTTCTGATGGTAAGTCTGAGATGACAAGCGTATACCACAATCCCACTGATGAATTGTTTTTTTTGAAAAACAGAACCACATTCTGAATGTCGGAAATGAAGAAGAGGACTAAAAAAAATCATGTTGAGAAACTTATGTGATTTTGTGAAATTTCTCAAAGTTGGAAAGGTTGCAAAAAAAGGAGATGGTTGCATAAATAGAGGGAGGTGGCACAACAGAGATAAGGAGCTCGGGAGGAAGTTGCAAGGGCTATTAACTAGTCATGAATAAGGGGGGGGGGGAAGTAACTCATATTATTATAATTATTATTATTTTATATCTTATTATTTTTCCTTATTACTATGATAATTTTTATCATGATGTCTCGACTAACAGATTTGCCCTTCTTGGCTGTCAGGCCGTGCAGTCGAGCAAGTGCAACTTGAACCCCACTGCCAAGGTGATCAAGGCAGGTCAAAAAAACGGTCGAAACTTTTCTTTTCCTTTTTTTTTCCGATGGTGTTCTACATCCACCAAGAGGTACCCAAGTCCATTTTTTTTTTTTTTTTTTTTTTCCATATCGATTTTGGAGGGTTGAGGGGGGTTGTGTGAAGTGCTTTAAAGAGGCATGAAAGGGGTTAAAGGGTCTTCCTAGCGTGTGAATTTTTTTTTTTTTTTTCAAATATTTTTTATTTACAATTTCGTTAAGAATTTTGAAATGACTCTCGGCCAATAGTTGTTTCATTTGTTGTTCTGCAAAACAATTTTTTTTATGAATTTTTTATTTATTTTTCAAAAATTGTAGAATATAGCTTGGGATCACGCCGACCCAGTTGCCCAGCCAACTGTCCCAATGAGGTCTCGTGCCAGCCCTTGGTACCTCGGCGGCGTGGTTGGTAGTCCAGCCTGATATTATTTATTTATAAAAAAAAACAAATGACAAACTTAATTTTTCTTTTATGACTTATGTCATATTAGATAACTGATTTGTTGAGGAAGATTCACAAGCCAATCAACGCAGTATCGAAGACACGGGTTCAAAAAACTCATGTATATTCGAGTACAAGAGTACAAAAACACACATGTACAAAGATTGCATGTCGGTTGGGTATGGCTCCCCGACCGGTTTCGACCGCAGCCACGCGGTCTCCTCAGGGGGTTACCACCGTACTACACCTGATACTCACGCCGCCTTCCACTCTCCCACCTCCGCCGTTAACCCACTAACCATCTCCGAAAACAGTAAGTGGTCGCTAGAATTGGACCCGGAAAAGAGCAATTGTCACGCAATCATTACCTACATAGTCCGCGAAGAGGCATTGCCTCGGTCTGTCCCATTAGGCAGCAACGCAAAGTCGCATTACCAGTTCGAGATCAGATTGCGGGTATCAAAAGTTACCAGTTCGAAAAAGCAAACACACAACAAAATGAACAAAATGAACATATAAAAAAAAAAAAGACTAAAAACAGAACACATCACACCTACCTCCAGCAAATACTAAGCCGCACCTAAAAATCGGATCCTAGAAACAGTGGCACAGTGAAGGTACCCGGTTCAAGTCTCCTCACCGTCCCCCAACGGATCATACGAAAAGCAAACGGCAGTACTGAGGTACCATGATCGAAACCCTGTCCTCATAAACCAATGGTACCGGGTTCGAAACCCTGTCCTCATAAAACTTAAACTTCAAAAACTAAAAATAAAAATAAAACTAAAAAACTATTGGGGTGATTGCACCCGGAGAAATACAACAAATCAAAAAATATATTGGTTGCACACTAATTTTACTGCCTAGTACGAGCAATCAGTCAGCCAACCTGTCATCAACCACGCACACTTCATCGTCACGCATTCCATACTCACTCAGGATACAACCAATTAACAGTACGGTTCCAAACACCTTATCGCCCCTTCGCGAAACGCTTCACAACGCGCTCCACAAAACGACCTGGAAAAGCCTTCATTCTCAGCTCGCGAGTCAAACTCAACACTTGCATTGGGATCTGTGATCGTACATTTGTATTCCGATCGATCCTGTGCAGATGGTTGACAATCACAACACTATTTTGTTGTTTGCTGCCCCAAGAACAGTATGACTGCCCATTCTTGAACTCCAGCTGAGTCCCCACTCCCCAAATCGTCCTCTCATTCTTAGCTGTCTGGTAACAGGTAACAAATGGTTGAATCTGGTTGACACTCATCTGAGTTCCCAAAAAAATCCCAGGAACGGGACCCATCGTCGGTCCTCTTCAATAGAAGGATCCTTGGATAACATGCTTCAAACAAAGATCGGATCTCTTCGGCTGTCATGAAGTTGTGCCTTCGTTTCAGGACAACAAGGCTCACGTCGTCCATTAGGCGGACACCAAACACATCCCTGCTTGCCCTCCCCAAATTCCGCAGGAACTTGAATTTTGCGAAAGCACACAAAATACACACTAATGAGGGGCTTGTACTCTTCCCCATAGGAATCCCAACTACTTGCCTCAGAAGTACCCAAGTAGCCCGAGTGTACGTGTGCCTCAGTTCCATACGCACAAAACATTTTATCTGCTGCAAATCTCCAAAACGCCAATGATCATCTCCCAAGGTTCGACCAAAAATACAGCCCTTACCCCGTGCATTAACTCGGACATGTCTACGACCTTTACCCAGATGGTAATCAACGAGCCAATTCACGGCTTCCTCGATCTCATCGTGCGGTAACTTACTAAACATGTCCTTGATGTCATATGACATCGCGGACAACACCGAGCTAATCCCCATCCTTCTCCCAACCTTCTTATTAATACGCTCAAGAGTCAGGACCAATGAAGATACAGACTTAAGATTAAAATGCCAGTCCCGCGTCAGAGTGTACAACATGTGGTTGAGTGCCTTCGCGACCAACCTACATCCTTTGATCGTAGGCTCAGAGTAGGTTGGACAAATAGGTCGAAATCTCGTGAGATCCTTATGTTTTGGCATAACGTATGCCTCACCAATCTTACCCTTCTTATCCCATTGCACCAGATTCGTCAATCCTGCCTCCAAGACATCCGATCTCATTTCTTCCATCGCCCTCGCTTCCGGAATCCCAGTAACGACATATCCTGTGCTTGCTACGAATAGCTCAAGCGTGGCTTCGTAGTACACCTTTGGACACAACACTAGGGTATCACCCGGGTTTCTGTCCAGCGGTGTCAGAACGAGCCCATCCAGTCTTGCTTTAAGCCGATGCACCTCCCTCAAATCCAGGAATCTTGTCTTTACATCCGACTCGCCAGTGAGACAAGCTTCCGCATCACCTCTACTAACCATCGGCCTTGGTCCCCTCCAGTTCGTCCAGCCTTCCACCCCAGACGTGATCTCGTCTCAACAGGCTCCCACGGTCCGGATGAGAAAGTTTAGGGACGTTATTAGCATTACAAAGGAGTGGATAAATATCTTCCAATTTATGCAATCGAAACCGTACGTGACCTCCTATCCTAGGATAGAGAAGACCTGCACACGAGCAAGTAGCCACTTCAGCTCGGGAGAAACCCCGCTGATTGTGCAAAAGGCTACCCACCGACGGATTCTTAACCCACACGATGCGTATACCTCTTCGCTCATGGTTCTTCAAACACGCTGGAATAACTGACTCCTCCAGTTTATCATTCACAAACTTCCTAACTTCCACAATGCTGATCCTATCGTCAAACTTCAGCTTCACCGTCACCTTCGAGTTCAGACTCCATCCATAGCACGACTTGATCGTTCTGCCAATGATTCGCCTCAGGTAAGCTGTCGTGGCTGCTTTCTGAAAATCCTACGCAGCCCCCGTCAACCTAATTAACACATCCAGATTGCAATTCCTCAGAGCTCCCACACGATTCTTGCATCGTAGGATCGAGATTAGGAAGTTCTTATCCTTGGAAATCTTTGGCTTCCACCTTCTCAGATGGAGAATCTCCAACTCGACACCCTTTTCCATCTCGTGCTTACACGTGCACAGCTTACAGCGTCGACCATCGATCTTAACCTCCGAGTTACGAAAACTCGATCGAATCGACTTCCAACTGCCACCCCAACAATTCCCTCCACTGAATCGTAAGGTGAACCGACTACAACCCGCCTCCTCTCGCGCTAATAGGACCTGAAAGCAGTTAGCACTCCAGTCATCCGTGTCACTCAGCCTAACTCTGATAGGAATGACGACTTCAAGTTTTGAGGATGCATATTCCGGTGACGACTTCTTCCCACGTTCACGTCGTCCCTTCCTCCTCCGTCCGACCCCTTCGCGAACCTTGGTCCTACCTGTAGAATTTAAAGCCGGACACCATCGCCGAATGAACATGTCCTCCATCAGTACCAAGTCTGCTTGCGAGCAGCGGTCAATGGGAATCATAACGTAGGACTCAAACCCAAACACCCTCCACCATCTGTACAGATGAGTCTGTTTCCTACCTCGTTTACATACCGAAATATGTTCCTTCCATTGCGTCTTCCCATCTCTACCAGTCTGCCCTACGTATTGAGCTCGACATAAAGGAGAGGTAAGAACATAAACCCCTCCACAGTCCTTTGTAAAGCACTCAATCCCATATTGCTTATACAGCTCAACCTAAGATACGACACATTTCATCATCCAGCGAATCTGGTAGCTTAAGGTCAGCGCGATAATAACAAGTCTGTAAATAACTTCGATATTCTCATCGTAAATGTTCTCCCGACGTGAAGCAATTAGACAATCCCAGAGAGCCCACAACTTACTATCCGTTCATGCATAGCTATCCTCCACCACGTCTTCTTCACCGCTATGGTCCACTTGATTCTCCCCCGTTTCCTCATCTTGAACCTTCACCTCCTCTTCACCAAAAGCAATATGCGTGCGTTTCTCGGCAATAGCCAGAATCGCCTGCATTTTCGTGCCTTCGTACTCCACGTCTTCTGTCTGGCAGATCTTCTTCAACTCTTCCACGGTCATATCCCCCAATTCCCTCACGTTATCTGTCACAAATTTGAGTTTTCCGATTGTACCCGGGGCCACCGGGATCTTCCTCTGCCCCGTGCCCGGTATCTTACGTGGAGGTGTCTTCTTCATTAACTGATGACGACAATCGAGCTGAAGTCTTTGTTTGGCTGTTCGCTTCGCTGGTGTTACCATCGGCGCGCTGTCACCGACCTGCTTTTCGGCTCCTCGTTTCCTTTTTTCCGAAATGACAAGCTTCTCGGTCTTACGACTCAGCAATTCCACCTCGCTTTCGTAGGAATCCGCGTCGTCATCATCGGAAGATGAGACAATAGCCTTATGCTTGCCTTTGGCTCGCTCCATGACTTCTCGCTCGTAGCGATGCTGAAGAGACTCATCCAACTTTCCCATGCGAAGGGAGAGCTCCATGAGCAACTCCTTCCTCAACAACCGTCGGTCCTCCTCTTCTTTACGCAGCTTTGCCTCCTTCCTTTCAGCACGCCTCTGGCTGGCTACACATGCTTCCTCGGCCGCTTGGGCCTCCTCCTCCTCCTTTCTACGCTCCAACTTTTCCATCGTCTTCTTTCTCTTTTCTTCCTTAGCTGCTGTTTCCGCGTCGAACACCTCCTTCATCATTGCCATAGACGCGACTAATTCCTCTATCTGGCGCTTAACAGCGGAATCTTCCGAAGAAGCTCGCGGCTCCGGGTATCGTAACTGTTGCCGTGGCGAAAGCGACCTGCCTCTGGTCATACAGATTTCGTCGAAGTCCCTAATGTACCATTTGTGTATCCATTTGTCAACGGCCTGTGGAGCCACGGGGCCAACGAAATTTGTGGCCATCGTTGGAGGTGACCGCAAATGCTTTATTTTTCTAGGCTACCACACTCGTGGTTAATGAGCCTCAAAATCTTCGGCGAATGGTCTACTGAAGTTTACAATGAAATTTGAAGAAATTCATTAAAGAATTATATACTTTTTTACCTAAAGATTGTTTTAGGTATGTCTTTCATCAAAAAGGTATGTTTATTGTTTCCAAAAAGTTATTATTGGTTTATACGGGGCCCTAACTGAGACCTTTTAAGGGCATTCTCGCCTTTCTCACAAAATATCCTAAAAAATATAAATTTTTATCACAGACTTCTCATGCAGTCTAGTACAAGAGGGTTAGGTCTCCATCTTGCCCCACCATAGTCTGGTTTATCGAACTAGATCTACGATCAGCCACGTTGTTATATTAGCGAATGTGCCCTCGTCAATTGTGCAAAGATAGACAATTTTTTCTTATAAACACTCTATCAGAACTCCAAAAAGATACGATAGACTCGACCCTTATCCCTCTGACATCCCGCAAGAATAAAACTCTCTTAGGCGGTCACACCCCTCAAGCCTTACCCCTTTGGTGAGACGTCGGTCCGCTGCAAGGTTGCGCCGGTCAACAGCCAACACTGGGGGTTGCGCCCAGTGATGCCAGACTAACCCCTAGTTGGGTCTCATATATGTCTTAAGATTAGCATCATAGTAACTGAACGGTGTGTTGCAATAAACTCAGGCCTACTACGGGACTACGCAAAGGTCTGTTTCATTCAAAAGACATTTACCAGTTCTCTATTGAACAACATAGAGAGTTCGGCGCCCTCTAAAAAAAACACAAAATAATCACCGCCAGATTCACATACTTAGTTTGAGTATCAACTTGATTGGTAGTTGCTTTAGATGCTCATCATGTGCTGAAGCTGTAGGAGTTAGTTCAATTCCTGTTTTTTTTAGTTAAGTTTATTTTACTTAATTCAATTATGGCATTTTTTTTTTTCAAGTTTATTTTTCTATACTTAGCTTTGTATAAATTTTTGAAAGCTACTTTCGTTAAGGGAAGTGTCGCCCAAATTTTTACAAAACCAAAGAGTTAGTCAAATTTTAACTTTTTAAAGTTCTGTTTTTATTGCGTTGCCACTTGTACGCACCCTCGTACGAGTATAGAGTCGTACTCTTGTAGTCGTACGCTACTCGTACGTTAGGCGCCCCGTATGAGTTTTTTTTTTTTTTTTTTTTTTT